GATTTATCTCTTTCTATACCACCAACAACAGGTCGATTAAGTTTGTCTTATTGGAAACTCTAGATCCTAGAGTTGTTGTCTGTGTTCAGCAAACACAGACATCAAGAGCTGAAAACCATCCAGACAACTCTACGAGTAAATGACTACTCGAATAAAATATTGAAAGCGGCTTCCAAGAGAATACAGAAACAGTAGGAAACTGAGAAATAGTGGTCATGACAACCATACTTTTTATTAGCTTTATTTATTGTCTCGTCAACTATTACAGTTATTAAATACATTCATATTGATATTGAATACATTGATATTGTGTAACGGTACTAAATTTTGTTTAAGAGATTGGTTTGTTTTAAAAAGTTTATCACATTTTCGGCTGCGCTGCATTTTCCTGAGGTCTGGGTGATATTCTTTGGGATATTATTGTCCTCTCTTTGCTGGTAATACAGTAATTTTTGTCTGGCAAATATCACAGTCTGGTTCTTCTGTTTTGTCTATGATATGTCCATGGGTAAGCCTTGTGTGTCCTATACGTAGTCTTGCGAGGATGACATGATGTATTCTAGGCATTGGGATGTATTTCCATTGTTTTACTGACGGCTTTATTTCCTTCAGCTTTGACCCATTGGTGATCCATTGTTGTTGCCAGCTATTTATCAGAAAGTTCCTCACAATTTTTTTAACGGATTGTATAATTATGTCCGTACATATGGATACTTCACTTTCTGTTGCATTTTTTGCGAGTAGGTCAGTTTTTTCATTTCCCTTAATGCCGATGTGTGATGGAATCCATAGGAATGAAATATTCTGTTTACCCATTTGAAGTTGTTAAAGTTCTTTTTTTATCATTTGGAAAATTGCATTATGTGGATAGATTTGGGAAAGGCTCATTATGGAGCTGAGAGAGTCAGTAAGGATAAGGGCATTTGGTGATTTTTAATTTTTTGCAAATTCCAAGGCTTTCCATACAGCGTAGAGCTCTGCATTGAAAACATTGAATGTCGAAGGTAGTTTGTCGAGAATGGTGCAGCTGTCTCTTCAGGAGTTTTGGATCCATCAGTATATAAATGTGAGTATGATGGCATTGTGTCGAGGATCTGGTATAGGTGTTGCTTCATTATTGTAGGATTAGTATCGTATTTATTGTTCTGCTGCAAGGATGTATTTATTTTCGGGATATTTATTGTCCATGGTGGGGGCGACAGAATGTGATAGCATTCTTTTTATCCTTTCATAGAAGGGTGGATCAAGGTTTTTCATTCCTCTATAAGTGGATATGAAGGATCTGAGAAGCAGTAGCTGTGGACAAGATTTTTTTATGAAGATATCGATTTAGCGTAAGATGGCTTAAGTACTTTCTTCTGGTATGTAGTGATGGTTCTTCAGATNTGTTGGGATTCGCCACGTTTCATTTTACGATCTTGCTTGAAGTCCATGATTTTTCTCTCAGGAATTCGGTTCATCATAATTGTGCCGGTTCCATGAAGTCCTATTGGATTCAATCTCTCAAGTGAAGGTACAGATGAGAAAAAGCTGTCAAAATATACCGTCAAACGGGGTAAAGTCGATCAGAAATAAAGGTTTTTTCATCCTAGCGCCTAAACGATTGAATTTTTTTAAATGATATCGAAAATAAAGATACCTCAAACATTAAACCATCTGATGAACCAATTATTATTTTTGTAACTTTTCCCATTCAATTTTTATTTTTATTCAGTAAAGTAAAGAAACTGTTTTAAAGCATAGAAAATTCGACTTTTCCCTCTCAAAAGGTAAAGTCGATCTACGTACAATAAAAAAAACATGTTTTTTCTTTTTTAGTGAAATGAATCCATCAAAAAATAGGAAAATGCTTCTTTTTTTGATAGTCATGTAATCTTTATTTAAAATAACTTAGTCTAGCTTTTACAGGATGTTTGATATTTTAGAGAATATTATTAACGGCAATGAGGAAGAGCATTACGCTTATGGTGGATCCTTGAGGTATGCCATTCATTGGTAGAAGTAGTGTTATTTGTTCCTACTTGAAAATTACGCTCTTTTAAAAAATTTGATACAAACTTCAGAATGTTTCCCTTGATGCCCCATGTCTGTAAGGTTTTGATGACGTCATATGTCTAGATAGTGTTATAATCCTTTTCCAGGTCGAAGAATACTGCTAGGCATTGCTGTTGGTTCGCGAAACTTTCGTGCATTTCTGATTCAAGGCTTACCAAATCATAATCGAGGTGATTGTTGATATTTTGCCACTTAGATTCATCGCACTGTTAGATTTATTTGATAGAATGATCGAAGCTGATGTGAAATAAGTTTTCGGTATTTGGTTCAGGATCGAACTCCACATTGGATTTGAATCGCTGAAGATTAAATTCATTTGGAAAAAAACGTTCTCAAAAAGTTTATTCCACATAAACGCAGTTCACCAGATGAAGGAGTTCTTAAAATATGAAGTTCGAGGTGTACAGAATTGAACCTCAAAACGATGAGCAGCTACATTCCATCGCGTATTTCTGATGTGTACCACTCTTTGTGGAATTAAATGTGCCAAGTCACTTGAACATCTCCTGTGAAAATATCTATAGACGAGAGATAAATCTCCTACCTTTCTTCGCAAAAAAATTTCTTCAAAATATCGGTACTCGTTCTATCTGTCCACAAGACAACTAAATCCTTATTTTATAGGTTCTCTGCGTGTTTTATTGCAGTCTTAATCAGAGTATCTGTAGTACTATTGGGTTTAAGTATTGCTTGTATTGAGTAATTAGGTCTATTAGGTGTTGTCATGAATTTGGCAATATATTTTCCATTGTGTCCAGCTATAATAATTATTTTATTTGGTTCCATTTGGTTATGCATTTGTACCGGGAAGTCGAGACCATTCTTTGCATTTTTCATTGGAAACCGAGTTGGAATTGGTGAATTATCTAGGTCTACGCCACTACAGGTGTCGGCCTTGGTCATTGTAAATGCATGTTATAGTATTTCCAATACCAATTGGAACAGCAAAAAATAATATGCCGACATAGGCGTCGGCATATTATTTTTCAGTGGTAGTTTTTCAGTTACTTATTCTTACAATCATAGCAATTGATCACCCCAGGAAAAAGTTATCTCAACTGAATTTTTCCACCATGGTGCATATTATATTTACAATAGCATTCTGTGAAGTGTGACAGTTTTTCTTCTTCAAGCATTCACGAATATTTTAAATTACTCGCTGAACTTGAACATGTAAGTCCTTATTTTTAAATTCCGGATCCCTGTCGATTGACACAGATTCCTCAAACGTAATGTTATCATTTGTTTCAAAAGGTGTCCAGAAAGCCATATCTATTGTTGATAAATTGATTTGTATATTTAGGTATATAAACAGCTAACCCTTGTCTTAAGATTCAGTATCAATTTGCTTCTCCTGAAGATGCTAACCTTGTTAGCGAAACGCGCGTCGAGTGCAAAAATATCAGTTTGTTGTTGATGGTACCAATCAGTTATGATTTTCTTGTTAGATTTTATCAGCAAAACATCCAGAAAAGCAATTCTATTATTTTTTTATTCTTCAATGGTGAACTGAAGTTTGGGATGATAATTATTGATTGTTGTTAATATTATATCTACGTTTTCTTTTTCTATGCACAAAACAATATCATCAACATATCTTCTGAAAAAAATTATCGGAAAATTACATTGACGTAGACATTTATTTTGTTAGTCAGACATAACAATATCAGAGCAAATTGGTGATAAACAGTTTCCCATTCCTAGACCGAAAATCTGTTTACAGAAAACTTCTTTGAAATTAATATAGCTGTTACTCGTTACGAACTGGACTAACTCAATGCATGCTTCTAAAGGGATAGTAGTGTGTGGTTCTATTAAATGCCATTTTTCATTAACGAGACTTAGTAATAGATCTATTGGTATGTTGGAGGAAAAAATCTACAACTACTGCTATAGCTCAACTCACTTCTTTTATCGATGACACATGGAATGAAAAAGAAACTCCTTGATAAACTGGAGTATCTGGGAATTAGAGGAATAGGCAACGACTGGCTGCGCTCCTATCTTGACGGAAGAAGGCAAGTTGTAGTACTGAATAATAATGTATCTGATAAACAATTTGTCACACTGTTGTTCATAGTGTTTATGAATGACCTGACTCACTCAGTCAAACAAGCAGATTTAGAAATTTTATATGCAGACGACACAAACTTCTGCTTGAGGAACTCAACAGCTCAAGAGTGTTCTACCAGAGCTGATGTAAGTGCACAGGTATTTTATAATTACTGTCACAATAACGGATTATCTGTTAATGCAGAAAAAACTTACTTCATGATATTCTTACCCAAGAATGGCAGCTTTGATAATACTCTGACAATAACAATGAACCACCAAACAATTCAACAAGCTGAATCGATTTAATTCCTAGGAGTCACAGTGGACCATAAGATGACCTGGAAAGAACATATTAATAATGTGGTAGCTAAACTAAGCAGTATCTGCTTCTTAATGAGGCAATTACGTAACACAGTCAAATTTGATGTCTTGAAAATGGTATATTTTGCACATGCAGAAAGCATACTGTCATATGGTCTCATTTTTTGAAGGTCATCTAGTAATCTGAATGATGCATTTATTATACAGAAAAAATAATGAGATGCATGATGGGAACGTCACCTACTGTATCCTGTAAAGAATTGTTCAGGAAAACAATAATCTTAACCCTACCCAGTCTTTACATATTCAAACTAATTATAGTTTTCACACAACAAAAACACAATATTCCCAAGAATCGAGACATCCACGAATATTATACAAGAAATATGAACAAAATCTATCAACCACTTTCTAGATTGACTATTGGACAGAAATCTCATAAATCCCAACAAATGAAATGCTACAACAAATACTTGGAGTTATGCTCGGAACCAAACAAGACGGGTGAATTCAAGACTGAGCTACATTCATTTCTCTGTAACGGCGCATTCTATTCTCTGAATGAATACCTGGCGGCATGATTATTGTAACCTTTATATTATATGTGTGTATAAGTGTATATATATCGTAGAGTTTTCTTCTTTTATAATGTTTTNCCTTCGTGTCTGTGTCAACGTCTTTCAGGAACCTGTGTACGTATTTATATTTCATGTCGAAATTATTCACTTCACCCTTCAACTCGGAAAGCTGCCCTAAATATAAATACTCATCAATGTTGTTTGTAAAGTGTTCGAAACGTTTATTATTTTTTAACGATTGTTATATTCCATAATTCATTTTGTTTCTAACAGAACTGCTTTTTAAATTTCCATTTTAATATGTATGTCTTGTTCTTACACTTCAGAGTTCTGAAGATGAAACAATAAAGTTTCAAAACGTCATCAATTTATCAACATTTTGACCGAACTCCCGCCAACTTGACAATCAAAATCATCTTCATGATATTATCCTTATTTATACCATAGATACATATTCTAGGTACCTGTGTCTTAAATTAATTTCACAATATTTCCTTATCTACTAGTCCTAAATTAATTATACACTATGTTCTCATGTAACAGTCAGGTAAATCTAATAATCTAATTGGTACACCTTCGTTATTCATAATATTATTATGTTTATTTATTTCTACACTCTCATAGGTATCTAGATACCTGTTGGTTTTGTTGTAAAATATGATGGAAGACTGCTGATTTTTCAGGTTTTTCCGATTTTTCATATTTAGACACCTAAAATATGGTATCTATGGTATAAATATGGATAACATTGTAAGTATATTTAGTTTATTCTTCCTCTTGAAGATGATCAATTGATTATCTAAACACGTGTTGAGGTGTTGAAATAACGATTTGGTGTTGTAAAAAACTCCAGTAATATTCATTTCTACACCACAGGTTCCAAACAGTGCATCACAAGTTATATTCTTGAAGATTGATGAATATTATTATATTCCCAGTATTATCTTTTTAGGAATATATAAAGGAAAGTGAATAGATATTACATTTTTTATTGACGATCAATGTTAACATATTTATGTACAAGTACAATGCATACATATATTTCTAATCTTACCTAGATTGGCAGTTCTCATTTGAAAACCAATTAGAGTTAATAGTTCGTGGAACCGCTTGCGGTATACAGGGTGTTCCTAAACATCGTGCACATACGAAAGGGGGTAATTCTTTGGCTTATTTCATAACTACGAGTTCATATAAACATAGGTCCGCAAACGCTTCGTTACCGATTTACAGGGTGTTGAAATTACAAGATTTTTCTTGTTATTTCTTTGGAGCTCCTGCAGTTTTCGAGATATTGAGCTCAAATTTGGAATCTAGATTGCGTTATAGGGCATACATTAGTGGGTTTTGTNCTGTAAGAAATACTCCGGGAGTCTTCGCAAGAGTACGGGCATCAATGAGAAGAAGAGCGGACGCATGTATAAGGGTAGGAGGGGGTCACTTTCAACATTTGTTATAATGCAGTTTAATTGTTATTATTTAGGTTTTTGTATTGTAAAATAAATCATTTCTACAAAAAATCTTTAATTTTTTTCTCGATAACGGTCGCAGAAACGAAAAGAGTTTCTAAACAAAAAAAGTTTCCAAATAAAACGGAAAATTCATTTTGTATTTTAGAATCTACCAGCGGCGCACAGTAAAAAAGTTCAGGGGGAGAAAATGGAACATGACTCCTGAAAAAATATCACCTTGTAGAATCAACAACCATCTGACAAAACCCACTAATGTATGCCCTATAACGCAATCTAGATTCCAAATTTGAGCTCAATATCTCGAAAACTGCAGGAGCTCCAAAGAAATAACAAGAAAAATCTTGTAATTTCAACACCCTGTAAATCGGTAACGAAGCGTTTGCGGACCTATGTTTATATGAAATTGTAGTTATGAAATAAGCCAAAGAATTACCTCCTGTCGTATGTGCACGATGTTTAGGAACACCCTGTATTTGAGTAGAATTTATTTGTTTATTTGAGGAATGAATAAAGGTCCAGAATTCAGTACCTTGCTTTGGTACATTGTTTTACATGTTTCTGATAGATATGAACACCAGTAAATGCCACTGTTCTATTGCTTGGAATTTTGACAGGATCATGCCTTTCTCTCAGGAAAGAATCTTCTTTTTCAAACTCTTCGAATTCATCATTACTGAAACAGCAACAACATACTTTAAATACAAAATCACTGATCACTTTGATGGCATTAATGGTTTCGTTTTGAAAAGGGTATAACAACGGATTCAAGGCACAACTGAGCAAGTTGAGAGCAACGAGAGCAAAATTGATATTCCAGCTTGCCTTGCTCGTCTCTGTACCTACTAATCGAATGATATAATATATGCAATACGGTAATCTGCAGACAGCAAAGGAAATCATGAGAACCAACACGATTCGGAATGTTCTAATTTTTCTCTCAACATGTATACTCCTCGTTTTCTTCAAACGAGGTCCAGGACTTCTGCTCACATTGGACAAAGCAGTTGATTTGGTTGTACTGAACGATGGATCTTCTGTATCGAGCTTATTTTCGGATTCTTTCGATCGCAATGTGATAGGTTTTCTATGTTTCCAAATGAGAACGGCAATCTTGAAATAGAAACACGTGAATATTGTCAATACAGGAAGGAACACGAGAGTAGTTATTGAAACATAATATACCAAGATTCGTTGTTTGGAAGTAATGCAAGTGTAGGCAAGCTGGTAAAGCGGTTTCTGCGAATACGGCCCAACGAATAATATCAGCATTGGTTCATAGTTGAAATTGATCGCCATAGGGAAGGACAGAACTGAAAAAAAAAATTAATTGAAAAGAAAGTATACCCTTATGAGACCGTTAAAAATATGTTATGGTTGAAAACGAGCTTACGTGAAAATTAGCAAGATCAGTTCTGAAAAAAAATGCTAATTTTACCTTCCTTTAGAAACAAAAATTGCTAAGCTAAAGTACTTGACTCAGGCCAGAGTTTTGATATGAGATTGTGTGGTGGTTAAAATAAAGAGGTAAACCTTAAATCACAATAGGTCGACGAATCTCATCTCCAGCCATGGGTAGTACCAGCTAAGTACGTAAAAAACCTTCGAATGGACCGCAATGTTCCAGAATACTCCACAATATTGTTACAGCCCATTTTCCCAGTAGTCTTATTATGAATAATTTCCTAATAATTAACTCATTTCCGGATGTTGGTAACTGAAGTTAATGAAATTTCCGTAACATTCAATAATTTCCCTTTCAAAAATATAATTATAAATCTCCCGGTATATTATTCATTGTTCTCCGTGCGAACTATCGAATACAATCTATGTCCGCGCTACGCCTACCCTATTCCTTCGAATGAAAGGTGAGAATTCAACAAAAACAGAGAAACGGTCAAGTGTCGTCTCTCGTCTCTTTGAATCTTTCCAGCAAATATTAAGTTTTTTCAAATAGGTTTGTTGATCATCCGTCCCATGAATTTTGGAATTCTTGGTGCACGGTGAAAATAGGACATTCTTTCAGTAAGTGAGTGTACCGTCAAACGGGGTAAAGTCGATCAAAAATAAAGGTTTTTTCATCCTATTTCTGACTCAATGTCAATATTCTTATTTTCAGCTTGCTCAGGTTTTTCTGATTCGCTGTCACTTCTGGGGTTGATGTTTTGTGATGTGCATCTGGATTCAGCTATTAGCACATCCGATGTCCCTATGCTCTTTCCTGCAGATACATTCAGTTTTTTTCCTCGTTTTATAGTATTTGATGGACCTGTCCGAAGTTGATCAAGATGGTCTACTATAGCACCTGTCCATGATGTTTCAAGGGTATCGTCAACTGTTTTACGTGACATTTTCTTGAGAGTGTCCGGATTGAATGGCATGATGCCACATGCCTTGAACCCTGCAATAGAGTTGGCTTGAAATCTGAGACCAACAGACTCCACAGTCTCCTTAAAAAGCTTTGGAAATACAGCTTTGGGAAGCACTCCTCTATTTTATAACTTCCATGTTTCTAATACCTTTTTCCATGCAGCCTTAAGAGGTCGGAAGAAAGCTACATCTAGAGGTTGTAGCAGGTGTGTCGAGTTTGGTGGAAGGAGGACAAACCTAATATTGTTATTTTCGCATTCTCGTATTACGCTTACATCCCCGTCTAGCTTTTTGAAGTGCGGCAAAGCAATAGAATAGAACCAGTATTCAAAGATGGTGGAATTAAACCACCCGCTGAGAGTGCGGTTGTATCTGGCCCCTTCTATACCCCCTTCAGTCCATCCCACATACGAATGTTTTGCCTTATAGACAATGTGTGGTGGAAGCATCGTGCCGTCCCCTGATATCGCAAACATGATCGTAGTGCTAGTTTTCGTGATATCTATGGCCCTATGTGCATGTTTGGCGCCTTTTTTTTAAAACTACTTCCATAGCACCGAGGTCATCTACGAAATTCGTTTCTTCATAATTGATAATATTAGAATATGGAATATCCTTTATGACATTTTTTAAATTTTGGAAATAATCTTCCACTGACTCGTAGCTTAACGCTGCTCGAACTCGTTTCGTATTTTCTGCCAGTTTTATGGTAAGATTGTGATTTCGCTTCATAAAACCATTAAACCAACCTGTTTCAGGTAAATTCTCTATAAACCTTGGTTCTGTCAACCCACACTTTGTTAAATAATGCTTTACAATATGCTTGATGTCAATTGGCTTCAAGGGGAATCCCCAATTGCCGCAAAGTTGCAGGATTTCGGACAAAAGTCTTTCTTCGTTTGCATCTAGGGCGGGCGGTCTCCCATACTTCAGCTGATGTCGTCCGTGAAAGTGATCATTGAGTGTCGAGTAAGAGACGGCAAATTGTTCAGAGGCAGCCTTCATTGACATTTTATCTTGCTTTACCGCCGCCACTGCCCTCTGAAGGAATTATTCGTCATGATTTTTCTTTCCCCTGGGTCCAAACTTTTTCTGATAGTGTCGAGGCATCTAAGAACGAATAAAAACAGAATTAATATAGACATAAAATGACTCTCTCACTAAACAGGACATCGCCATATGTTTGGCAACACTGTACAGATTGTTCTGTGTACCTTATTGTACTTTACAATAAATATAACTTAAAATAAATAAACTGACAGTGATCGAAATTACCCCTCAACAATAGTTTTTTTTAAACCTCTAATATAGTATTATAAAAATCAAATTATAATGTTATTTTTGTTTATTAACATTCACAAATAACTATGTTTTCCCATATTATTACGAAATCTATTCCTTCGCACAAGCTGTGAGTTGTGGAATCAATCGTTTTCGCATGTTTAAATTTTAGCCAATTTTCAATCTTCTATAAATACGTGTGCCTACATGTTCTTACCTTATGTGTCACT